ATGACCTAATAATTTCTGATAAAACTCGCTTAGTTCATTATTAGCCATGCGATCATCATCTCCTTTTTTCTCATATCCTAACCAGACCCAACAAAAAAGGCGAAAGCAAAAAACCTGCTCACGAGTGCTTATTCTTATTAGGTTGAAAAGTTGGCTTACGAATTACTGAGGCGATTGGTTTTGATTTATCCTTAGAACACGGCGAAGCTCAGTATAAAAACCTCTACCCGCGGCAAAAGAAATAAAGAAAGATGAATATATTTTAGTCCTGAAATTATCAAAGAACTCAAAAAAAGAAATTGACAACCTCAGCAAACTAACCGCATTAGTTTTTTTGATTTTTTAAGTCAAGTCAAAAAAGAACTGAATTTACCGGTTAATGTGGAATTAGCACCGCACACATTAAGAAGATGTTTTGCTACTTACCAAGCCATTAGTGGTATGCCTTTACCGGTATTGCAGAAGGTATTGGGACATTCTAAAATTTCTACCACTGCTCTTTATATTAAAGACTCTGATTTAAGTAATTTGGTGAAGTTTAGACCGGTCTAAGGCAGTAAAAGTTCTAGTTCTAAATGGTTTTAGGAACATATTTCGTTAACTTAGTCGTAAAACTACTTATATAAGAAACGCTAAGTTTATCATGAAAAAGAAGCAACAACTTATCTCAGCTACTGAAATAGCTAAATTATTAATGTCTTTTGACCCAGATCGAGAATATTTTTTAGACGGAAAGATGCTAAATAAGACCGAAGAAGAAGGATATGAACCGCCTACTATCGGCAATTTTCGTTTAAATAAAATGCTTCATATTTGCCAAATGCTCCACTATGCTAAATATGAGGAACCTCTTTTTTTAGAAGATTTAAGGGCTTATTATCACGGAGCAATTGTTTATCCGGTCTACCGAGGCTTTTTTAGTTTTTATCGCCAATCACTAGCAACCAAAGAAATTTCAGTTACTAAGGAAAAAAAAAACCTAGTTAGCAAAATTTACTACTACTTTAAGAATTATTCCGATGAGTATTTAGAAACTTTTTCGCATGATGATCCGGCTTGAAGAAAAACTTGATATGAGAAAAAAGGAGATGATGATCGCATGGCTAATAATGAACTAAGCGAGTTTTATCAGAAATTATTAGGTCAT